ATTGATTACAAGTGCTAGAGATGCATAGAGAGTGTTTAGAAGTGTTGAGAAAGACTTGTTGAAATTTGGTCCCATATGGGCTAAGAACTCAGAAATCTTGCGTTGAACCACTAAATGGCTTGTCTAGTGTTGTTTAAGGTTAGAATATGTTAAAATACAATTAATTTGATTGATTACAAGTGCTAGAGATGCATGAAGAATGTTAAGAAGTGAGTAGAAAGACTTGCTTAAATGTTGTCCGAAAAGGGCTTAGAACCCACAAACATTGCTTTGAAGCATTCAATGGCTTATCTAGTGTTGCTTTGGGTTAGAATATGTTAGAATACAAAAATTTTTATTGATTACAAGTGCTATAGATACATGAAGATTGTTTAGAAGTGTGGAGAAATACTTGTTGAAATTTGGTCCCAAATAGGCTAAGAACTCAGTAACATTACGTTGATCCACTAAATGGATTGTCTAATGTTGTTTAAGGTTAGAATATGTTAGGATACAATTAATTTGATTGATTACAAGTGCTAGAGATGCATGAAGAGTATTTAGAAGTGAGTAGAGAGACTTGCTTAAATTTGGTCCGAAAAGGGCTTAGAACCCACAAATATTGCTTTGAAGCATTGAATGGATTATCTAGTGTTGCTTTGCGTTAGAATATGTTAGAATACAATAAATTTTATTGATTACAAGTGCTACAGATACATGAATAGTATTTAGAAGTGTGGAGAAATACTTGTTGAAATTTGGTCCCAGACTGGCTAAGAACTCAGAAACATTGCGTTGAACCACTAAATGGCTTGTCTAGTGTTGTATAACGTTAGAATATGTTAGAGTACAATGAATTTGATTGATTACAAGTGCTAGAGATGAACGAATAGTGTTTAAAAGTGAGTAGAGAAACTTGCTGAATTTGGTCCGAAAAGGTCTTAGAACCCACAAACATTGCTTTGAAGCATTAAATAGCTTCTCTAGTGTTGCTTAGGGTAAGAATATGTTACAATACAATAAATATAATTGATTACAAGTATTAGAGATGCGATGATGCGACATCGAGCAATGACAGCTCGGGCCGGACGGACGACACAGACAGACGGACAGACGACACAGACAGACGGACGGATGGCGACCGCGAGGGAACGAGTACCGACCGAGCAAGATACGGACGGATCGACGAAACCGACGGAACGGTCGAACCAGCTCGACAAACTCGATCGATGACTCGATCCAACGCCCCGATCATTGCCCAAGGAGCGATCACTCGAAGCCGACGATCGTAGAAGAATACCCGAGACCAATTCAACCTCTTCCTCCAAGAATACATCCACGATCTCATCGAGAGCCTACATCCACGACCCAAGAATACATCCACGACCCAAGACCAAGAGCCTACGTGGATGGTCTTCACCACACCATTGGTGAAAACGTTTAAGTCGTTAGCGAACGACTGTACTCTTTTTCCTAACTCGGTTTTTATCCCATTGGGTTTTACCGAGAAGGTTTTAACGAGGCAGTTAATCGTAACGCATCCACGCGTTTTACCAAAGACGCGTGGATTCTATCCTTCTATCCTTATCTTAAAACATTTGAATTTCGAACGTTGGTTTTTGTCCTTAATTTACAATTGTTGTAAGCCGCTCGACCACACACGTGGCCTAGGGCAAATAGGGTAGCTCTTTCGGTTCGCACCTATTTAAAGGCTGCTTAAACATTTGTAGAGGTTACGCTTGCTTGAATCAAAACCTAGAGTTATTTCTCTTGCGTCATCTATTCGTTCCTCTAAAGGCCTCTCGCCGCTTAAAGGTCCGGAAACCCTCAACGTTCGAACGAGCCGGGCTCTTCGACGGTGAGGCAACCGTATCACGAGTCTCCTCATCACTCACGAGTCTCCTCATCACTCGTGTGTCGTTGCGTCGACCCATTCATCACCCTCCGAGAGCGTCTCTCATTTGTACGAGAGCGTCCTCGTTCTGTCCGACAGTCCGCTGCACCGATCGAGGCGTCCGAACCAAACCTCGATCTATCGAGTGTATCCGGAGGTTCATCAGTGGTATCAGAGCTGAAGGTCCTAACAACAGTACGACAGCCATCGATCCGGTCAAACCGTCATCGCAGCCGTCCTTGTACCCGACGAAAGCGACCGACCCTGGTACTACCCGCAACGGAGCATCTTGCGAATAACGCTCGAGCGACCCGATCCAACGTTGTCCGCGATCGAAGAATACATTTCTCCGGACAGTTACCCGACGAGTATCCGGACACAAAGCCACCAATGGAGGATCCTCGTCCTCCCGACGCTGAACCACTACCCCCACCCGAGCTCGGTGCTGTCTTGACCGAGTTCTGAGAAGAGCTGACACGGATACGGGAGAGGTTGACCCGTATCGAGGAGAATCACGTACCTCCGGGCGCACCCTTGCAAGCAGTCTGAGGGCGACAGCAACAACCCCACTACGAGCCGGAACAACTCGAGTCTTTCGGAGATGAGCGACGTCCTCGCCCCCGCGGACGATATGAGGGTCGACCCGAAGATCCTCGAGCGCAAGAACCCGGACACAAATTATCCGTTCCGACGTTCGCAGGTAAAGTCGATCCCGAAGTATATCTTGATTGGGAGCGGCGAATGGACCACGTTTTCTCGTGCTACAACTACAACGAGCGAAGGCAAGTCACCTATGCCGCTGCTCAACTAACCGACCATGCTCTCACTTGGTGGGATCGAGACATGGCCGAACGAAGACGAAATCTCGAGCCGGCTATCTCGACTTGGGAAGCCATGAAGAACATAATGCGAAGGAGATACGTACCACCACTATACCATCGCGATCTCCAGAAGCGATTCGGACGGCTCACTCAAGGCACCAAGTCGGTCGAGGAATACTATGAAGACTTCGAGTATTTGCGGAACCGGCTCCAGCTCGACGAATCCGAGGAAACCCATATGGCGCAATTCCTCGATGGACTACAAGATCGAATCGCGAGAAAGGTCGAGAGACAACCCTAAGCCGGTATCGAAGAGCTCCTACACCTCGCGATGCAATGTGAGCAACAAATCAAGCGAAAGGTTGCTACCTTGAGTCGAAGCCGAGTCCAAGGAACCCCGAGCTGGTCACCAAGTGCTTCGCCCGTTAGCAAGCCCCAGGACAAGCCAAAGGCTGCTGTTGTCAAGTCTTGGTTCAGACCGAGAGAAAATAACAACGATGCTCGGACCGACCCGAGACGACAACCTACCGAGACGCGCAGCCGAGATATAATTTGCTTCAAGTGTCAAGGTCGAGGGCATGGCGAGAGATTGTCCGAACCCACGAACAATGATCATCACCGCAGCTGGAGAGGTCGAGTCTCAAGATGAAGCCGACGACCTGATCGAGCAGAATCCGGTTGGCGAGATCGAGGAAGCCATCGCAGAACCCGAAGTTGGCGAGTTGCTTGTCATCCGAAGGATCCTTAGCGTCTCGCAACAGCCCGACGATACCAATCAGCGCGACAACCTCTTCCACACCCGTTGCACTGTAAGTGGGAAGGTTTGTGGCTTGGTCATAGATGGTGGCTCGTGTACCAATGTCGCGAGCACCTACATGGTCAAGAAACTCTCTTTAACGACCACAAACCATCCTCGACCTTATAAGCTAAAGTGGTTGAATGACAAGACCGTGATTCAAGTTAATGAACAATTCACGGTTCCTTTTGCCATCGGTCCGTATCAAGACCAAGTCTTGTGCGATGTAGTACCGATGCAAGCTAGCCACGTCCTCTTAGGACGTCCATGGCAGTTTGATAAGGGAACCAACCATTGCGGTCGATCCAACCAATACTCTTTTATGCATGATAATAAATGTATTAGTTTAACACCTTTGTCACCATCCGAAGTTAATGAAATGCAATCGAAACTGTCTAAGGAAACCGGCACTAAAAAAAATTTTTTGATTAATCCTAGTGTAGTTAGAAGATCCCTAAGTGATCCGACTTGTAAAATGCTACTCTTGGTTTTTAAAGATGATGTGATTGTAGGTCCTAAGGAACCCTACGTACCGGACGAGATCAAATCCATCTTGGAGAAGTACAAGGACGTGTTTCCGGAAGAACTACCCAAGGGTTTGCCTCCTATCCGAGGCATCGAGCATCAGATCGATCTAATACCGGGTGCTCAACTTCCCAACCGTCTTGCGTATCGAGTAAACCCGGACGAGGCTAAAGAATTGGAGCGACAAGTAGCCGACCTCATGAAGCAAGGCTATGTTCGGGAAAGTCTCAGTCCATGTGCCGTTCCTGTTCTTCTCGTGCCCAAGAAAGATGGGTCGTGGCGGATGTGCGTGGATTGTCGAGCCGTCAACAATATCACGATCAAGTATCGACACCCGATCCCGCGCTTAGACGACATGCTCGATGAGTTGAGTGGTTCCGTAATCTTTTCCAAGATCGATCTCAAGAGTGGTTACCATCAAGTCAGGATGAAGGAGGGGGACGAGTGGAAGACAGCGTTCAAAACCAAACAAGGATTGTACGAATGGATGAAGGAGGGGAACCTTTATTAATAAGTTTGTAGTAGTATATTTCGATGATATTTTGATTTACTGTAAGTGCCTAGAGGAGCACTTGGATCACCTCGAGATGGTGATCCAAACCCTCCAAGAGGCGAGATTATACGCAAATCTCACGAAATGCGTTTTTGGGGCTAATGAACTTGTGTTCCTAGGTTTTGTTATTAGTGCACAGGGGCTCAAAGTAGACAATGAGAAGATCAAGGCTATTGAGGAATGGCCAACACCAAATAGTATCGCACAAGTTCAGAGTTTTCACGGGTTAGCGAGTTTCTATCGGGGATTCGTCCGAGATTTCAGCACCATCGCCGCACCCCTCACAGCCGTGATCAAAAAGAATGTCGAGTTTCAGTGGGGAGATGCCCAAGAAAGAGCCTTCCAAGAGTTGAAGCAGAAGCTTACTAAAGCTCCCTTGTTGGTCCTTCCGGATTTCAACAAAACATTCGAGGTGGAATGCGATGCATCGAATGTGGGGATCGGAGCTGTCCTTACTCAAGGTGGGAGGCCGGTCGCCTACTTCAGCAAGAAGCTAAGCAGAGCTACCCTCAACTACCCAACGTACGATAAGGAGCTCTATGCCTTAGTCCGGGCGATGGAAACTTGGCAACATTATCTCCTAGCTCGAGAATGTGTTATCCACACCGTTCATGAAACCTTGAAGCATCTACGGGGCCAGACCAACTTGAAGAAGAGACATGCCAAATGGTTAGAGTTCATCGAGGCCTTCCCTTATGTGATCAAGTACAAGAAGGGGAAAGAGAACATTGTAGCCGATGCCTTGTCGAGGCGACACTCCTTGATCACTACGATGGACGCGACCATCCTTGGTTTCGAAGGATTAAAGGATCAGTATGAGAACGACCCGGAGTTTGGCGAGTGCTATAGGGAACATGGGAAAGCTAATTTCGATTGCTTCTTCATCCACGATGGGTTCTTGTTCAGGGAGCATCGGCTTAGTGTTCCAGACGGATCGATACGAGAGCTTCTTCTCCGAGAAGCACATGGTGGAGGATAGACCGGGCACTTTGGAGTGGCCAAAACGCTGGCTGTGCTACGAGAACACTTCTATTGGCCCAAGATGAAGCGGATGATCGAGAAGTTTTGCAGCCGTTGTCTAATTTGTCGGAAGGCTAAGTCGACAACTCGACCGCACGGACTATACACTCCGCTCCCGATTCCGGAAAGTCCTTGGGTCGATCTATCGATGGATTTCGTTCTCGGTCTCCCGATCATCGACAACAAGGACAGCATTTTTGTGGTGGTCGACAGATTTTCAAAGATGGCTCACTTCATCCCTTGCCACAAGTCCAACGATGCGGTGCAAATTGCTAACCTCTTCTTCCGGGACGTGGTCAAGCTCCATGGAATTCCTCGCACGATCGCGTCCGATCGAGACAAGAAGTTTCTCGGACACTTTTGGCGGACCTTGTGGAAGAAGCTCGGGACAAATCTCTTGTATTCAACCGCACCTATTTAAAGGCTGCTTAAACATTTGTAGAGGTTACGCTTGCTTGAATCAAAACTTTAGAGTTATTTCTCTTGCCTTCCTCTAAAGGCCTCTCGCCGCTTAAAGGTCCGGAAACCCTCAACGTTCGAACGAGCCGGGCTCTTCGACGGTGAGGCAACCGTATCACGAGTCTCCTCATCACTCGTGTGTCGTTGCATCGACCCATTCATCACCCTCCGAGAGCGTCTCTCATTTGTACGAGAGCGTTTTCCCACATCACGCATCCTCGTCGTTCTGTCCGACAGTCCGCTGCACCGCTCGAGGCGTCCGAACCAAACCTCGATCTATCGAGTGTATCCGGAGGTTCATCATGCATAGAGAGTGTTTAGAAGTATTGAGAAAGACTTGTTGAAATTTGGTCCCAAATGGGCTAAGAACTCAGAAATCTTGCGTTGAACCACTAAATGGCTTGTCTACTGTTGTTTAAGGTTAGAATATGTTAGAATACAATTAATCTGATTGATAAAAAGTGTTAGAGATGCATGAAGAGTGTTTTTAAGTGAGGAGAAAGACTTGTTTAAATTTGGTCCCAAATGGGCTAAGAAAT